ATAATATGCCTCTTAATCCAATCTTTTAATTGAAGGCACCTGCTTTAAATAACAAGTTTACATGTAGATCTTAACAACTGACTTAACAATAAATTTACAAGTTCGTATCTTCCATTGCATATAATACATAAGCATGTTTGCACGCTTATCATGCTTATATATATATCTAACCGTATCTAAGACATATATAAATGAAATGTAAAACTCGAATACAGAAAATAGAGTTTAAGAAAACGTGTTTCCAGTTGTAGAACTGCAACAGTACGTTTACACTGTAACATGTTTAAAATAACAAAATTAGATTTACAAGTAGAGTTTTTGATGCTAAAGCATCAAGTCGCCGGATAGAAATATGATTGTATTATCGAAAATAAAAGAAAATATCAGTTTAATGGAAAAGAGGAACAATATTATAAGTTGAGTAATGTTTATTCATAAACATGTTTTCATGTACTTGTCACAATTATATATTTCTTGCTATAAAATTTGTAAAAGAGTTTTATGCAATAAATTTATGTTATGTTCTAACAAAACATCATATTTGAAGCAAACATGCTTAGCAATTTTGTCAAAAAAACTGTTATCATTGTTAAATGAGCAAGTATTGTTTGGCAATATTTACACGAGACTAATTAATTTTCGGGTGGTGTTTCGTTAGCTTTCATAACTTATTATGATAAATATTATGGTAAGTATAATTACATGAATATAACAATTAATTGAGTGACGAAGTTGTAACCTAGTAGGCGCAAATTCGAATCTTGGACAAATCCTGTTTGTAGTTTTCATAAATTGATTTTATTATATCTTTCAACTATATGAAACATAAGTTGATAAATCGTGTGTTTCATTTCTATAGCACTTTTTTATTTCATAATTTTGATAAATGGTCAAATTTTGAAAAAAAAAACAATATCATAAAAGAAAACATAAAAATCACTTATCGAACCTACAGTCTTCAATTTGAAACTAACAATAAAACTAACACCTTGTCATCGAGGCTTGTAAAGCAAGTGATATGCTTGTAATTCTACTTGTAATTAGATACTTTATACATATACCGTTGTACTTCAGAATCCGATAATTACCGATCATCGAATATTTGGAAAGTGACTATGAAAATATATATGCTTAATTATTGCATGAAACAATGCAATTCTACTGTAAAAGTGGTGTGTGCATAAAAAAATGTTCTTATGCGCTATCGAATAAATATATAATTTAGTTGAAATCAATATTCCCGTCGTTGCATACGATATAGTTAACGTTTAATTGTCTTTCAGTGCGATAAACTATCAACACAAAGATAATTTATTAGTTTTCTCTGTGTATCCAATACGATTCCGGCCCCCTACCGTCATACCGAGATTTTGCAATTATTCATATCAAATTACTTTGATTTGCACTTTATTTGTCGCCGGTAGAAACCGGCGACTATATTTGTAACAGTTTAATATAATATCTATTTGTAGGAGAAGGCCTTAAAATCTGAATATAAAAGCAAATCAATTACTAAACAATTAAGGACCACAATTATTTTTCATAATCTTAAAAATTCAAATACAAAGTAACGTTGCTAAATGAAATGAAATATACAAATATTGACATCTTAAAAAGCAACATTACAATTTTCATAAAATGAATTAATAACGTATCCCTATGGACCAGTCATTGAATTTATGGATACTTTTACTTTTTTTCTAAGTGTCATTCGTTGCTATTTTATGATTGATAAATCATGAATGATATTTGAAATGACACATTTAAATTATTTGGTTGTTTATATCTTATGAGACCTATTATATTTCATTATTTTATCTAATTATAAACAGATTCTCCCTGAATCACGTGACTACACGTTGTGTGTTATCGTTATAAAATCTATTAATAGTAACAGATTGCTGATAAGACATACAGGTAACTTGTGAATAGTTGAAAAGGTATGGCGGCTGATTAGATGCAAATGTATAAATAATTACAAAGTTATCTTTCATTAATCAGTTTCATATTTTATATCCTTAGAAAGGTCTGTATACTCATACTCATAATTTACACATTCAAGAATAAGTTTTCAAAACCGTTTCGTTTTTTCTTGGTAGAGGGTTAAACTTGGCCCTTTCTGTCAACGTGCAATACTTTAGTTTAGGTTGAACATCACAAAATAGATTTATGCTAAAGAGGCACATTAGTGGTAATCGTCGTCTTCGTTATATTCCGTCGATTTCCGTCGCGCTGGTTCCCAAAAGGTGTCGGCCTGGTGATTTTTCGTATTCTTGATTCTATAGTAAATCAGTCACATTTGAGGCTTAATTCTGGATTCCACTGTTCTTGATGAATTATATACTGTCTTCAACTTTAAACATCAACACTATCTGAGTCAAATGAGGCCCAAAATATAATAGGTTAGCCATCTCCTTTTTTCAGAAATCTTCATTCTGTTGTAACACAGTTTAAATTCACCACTTTAAAAACTCCTGACTGCTGGTGGGTGGTACATCTTTAATCCTTCCGCCAACAAATGAGTTCCTGGAGAATACACAAAAAAACTACTTTTAAACTCATCATATAACACACAAAAACTACACACATGCAATAAATACACTTAAATTATGACCAATAGAGATGACTTAAATTGGGCCACTTCAAAATTTTAAAGAACTACTTTCTAGACTACAATGAGCTGGGTCTAATTCCGTACCGGGTTGAGACCAAAACGGTATGACGGTAGGGATCCGGAATCGTATTAGATACATAATAAAGAAAACTAATAAAATATCTTTTTGTTAATATTTTATCGAACTGAAAGGCAATTAAACGTTAACTACATCGTATGTAACGACAGGAATATTGATTTCAACTAAATAATTTATTTTTTCGATAGCGCATAAAAATATTTTTTATGCAGATACAACTTTTACGGTGGAATTGCATTGTTTCATGCAATAATTAAAACATATATATTTTCAAATATTCGATGACCGTTAATTATTTGGCGGTAATTATCAGATTCTGAAGTATACAATACGGATTTCGATGTCTGGTATAACGTAGAATTACAAGTAGAATTACAAGAATATCACTCGCCTTACAAAATTAATTAAAATTATCAAATAAAAAAAATGCTAGAAATGAAACACGATTTATCAACTTATGTTTCATATAGTTAAAAGAAATAATAAAAAAATAGTTTTATGAAAACTGCAACAGGGATTTTCAAAGATTCAAACTTGGCCTACTAGGTCACAACTTCGTCATACTTACCACCACTAGGCCATCAAGCAATATTAATTGATTTAATATCTTTACTATCAATAAAATCTTTAGCATTAATCATAATAAGTTACGTACTAAACTAACGAAACACCTCCCGAAAATTAATGAGTCTCAGCAGGTCAATATTGCCAGACAATACTTGCTTATTTAATAATCATAGCAGTTCCTTGACAATATTGCTAAGCAAGTTTGCTTCATATAATTATGATGTTTTATTGTGAATGAATAGTTACTCAACATATTGTTCCTCTTTTCTTTATACTTGAACCATTAATTAAACTGATATGTTCTTATATTAATGATAATACAATCATTTTCTATCCGGCGACTTGATGCTTTAGCATCAAAATCTCAGAATACAAGTTACCTGTATGTCTGTCTCAACAGCCATTTGTTACTAATAATAGATTTTATAACAATAACATACAACGTGTAGTCACGTGATTCTTACAAAATAAACAGGGAGAAATAGTTTATAACTAAATAAAATAAAAAATAGAATAGGTCTCATAAGATAAAAACAACCAGATAATTTAAAGTGTCATTTCAAATATCATGCATAATTTATTTATCATAAAATAGCAAGGCTTGACACTTTGAAATAAGTAAAAGTATCCCTAAATTCAATGACTTATCCATAGGGATACATCATTAATTCATTTTATAAAAATTGTATTGTTGCTTTTTAAGATGTCAATATTTGAATATTTCATTTCATTGAGCAACTTTGTATGTTTGAATTTTTGAGATTACTGAAAACAATTGTAGTCATTAATTGTTCAGTAATTGATATGCTTTTATTTACAGATTTTAAGGCCTTCTCCTACGCAACGGGATAGCGGGGGCGTTATTGTGTATTTCAAAGAAATTTACCGTAACGCCGTCGAGTTAGTGTCATTAAATGTAAACGGTATTCTTTGTATTAAAAAAATAGATAGATATTCTTTATTTCCTCCATTTAGAAGAGCATATTGATCATATGTACAAATATAATATAATCGTGACATATTTACAAATATTACAGTTACATATATAACAGTTTTATATGATATTAACATTGTTTCAAACATATTCATACATCCTGTAATCGTATATGGTTTTAGAAGCGGATATTTACAACCATTACAAACAAATTTGAACAATTTTCAAGTGATGTAGCTAGAGATAAAACTTTTGTAACAAATGCGAAGAATGCGGCGTGTTTCCTTCAGTTTTATTTAGAAATATGGGAGAGACGCCTGTCCGCAAAAGTTCGTAAGTACTAAAGAGGGGCGGGGCGTCATGCATGATGTCTGGAATTTTGGCAACGAACGCCCTCCATACATGTCTAGCATTTTTGATTGTACATACAAACTTGTAAATTTTTTGTTGTATTCCATGTTAAGTAAACGATCTATATGTAAACTTTGTTATATAAAGACGGGAACCCTCAATTACAGGCATATTATGTGCTATGCACGGGTACAATAAAAAATGGTAGGCATACAAGTTGGAATACTTTACATGTCTGGAATTTTGACAACAAACGCCCTCCATATGACACCATGGGTCAATTTTAAACGGGGTCAAAATTTTATATTCCGGCCCTGCCCATGTGTTAGTGCATTCTCAAAGAAAGCTATACCATTAGATGCGGAATTAATTTTGGAAAAAAAAACATAAAGCTCAACAACCGTGCGATTATTACGCGACACCAGTCAATGAACTAATAAATGACTAATGTATGCTGACGACACATTGCATTGTGGGTAATTCACTGTTCAGAACGAGGTAAAGTAGGGCAGTGTGTATTGGAAGAGGAAATTGACAACGTCACATTTCTAAATTATTTTGCATCTCATGTGTTTACATGTACAAAACAATGGATGACAATGCCATGGGTATGTACATCTTAAATAATTATATTATAATTTAGTCTTTGATTAGATGTTCATTGTCGTTTAGAGAAGCAAACTTAGATTTTACTCAAAATTCCCCGATGTTTGTGGTCGCCATTTTGGATCGGATTGAAACGAAATTTTCTATCGGCAGACTCTTGCTTACACATATAATATGGCTAGGTAGAATGTTACGATCATCATATTATTGTATTTGTAACATGTGCAGTTTGTGCTAATTGGATTATTTATGCATGCTTGCGGTCAAGACAAAAAACTTCGTGGGTCAACAGAGGTCATGTTTTGGTTCGAGTTGCCCTCGGTATGAACCGTTGAACTTATGAACTCTAAATTGTTGTGATTCGATTACGCAATATATATCGCCACAATGCAAATTTTATATGTGTACTGAGGTAAAAAGGAATTTCAACTTTTTTGCAATGAGTTTTATTTCAAAATAGATACATCTTTTTAATTCTTAATATATAGATCTAGATACATCAAGAACAAATAATATGGTGCTAAATTATAGTATAGTATACAAGCATTAGTTAGTATCTTGGTGCAACCATACCTTCCATTCAACTTGACTTTAATGGGGTTACTCGACAATATCCACCAGGTAGACATCCACGTCGAGTAGGTGAGGACTGTACATCGGTGTAGAGTGGTGTGTTCCGACATAAATTTTAAAACTATATTACACAATTCTATCTGGAGTTAGTGTACCAGGTTTTGTAAAATAAGAAAATCATTTCACTCATCTTAATTGATATTCAATCCATCTTCCATTGAGTCAAAACACTGCTGGAGACCGGTAAAGAATCAACTCGGCCCTATAGGCTATACCAAAATGGCTAAGGTTAACTCGGCCCACTTAAGAAAAAAACATATTTAATGTGTTAACTCTTTCTAATGTCTTGGATGGTTTCAAGGCAAACTGATTTTAATGAAAAATAAGAGATATCTGGTATATCATTATATAATTGTACATTGTACTTCTGCAGAATTTTAGTATATTAAGAAGAAATTTGTTACGTTTATTCTTGCAGATTCGTTAAAAATAACTATAATACAAATGTGTTCCCTTTGATGCTTTTTTGTTTGTAAAGTTATCTACATTAAAATATGAAATAAAAACGTGTTTACTTATTATCATAAGCTTCTTATTAGGCCATAGAAAATTAATCTTTAGACTCTCATCCAGGTTCAAGAAATAATTGGGGCGGGTGGGCGGAATTTATAATTTATAATTTATTTTATCCATCACTTTTAAGACCTGAAAAAAAAACAGAAATGTATGAATATATTGATGAATGTCGCATCATTTCCACCCAGATTTTGATCAAAACTAAACCCAAACCAATCACAAACAGTTTTCTTGTTTTACTGAATCATATATTTCACATATGACGAACATTTTGACAATTTTACTGATCGAAAACGAACGTATTTAAAATCTTGATCACTAGACGCTGTAAACCTCAGTCTGAGTTTTATGTGTTCGTCCCGCGAATATTCAACCACGATTTTCGGACGAATTTTCGTCCACAGACGTCTGCAAAATCATGCAGGGTTCCCGCTGTCGATCGCCAATGGCTTCAAATGCGACAAAATATTAATTCTGGCGCATAAAATCTTTAAATTTGCGAATTTAACTGGCGCCAACGTAAGATAAAAGCATCCGACAACTAGTACACTTAAATGTCATAAGCGGCCGCGTCAATTACATAAGCAGCCCAAATGTGAAAGGTCACGCACTATTAGTTTGTTTATCAAACTGTATAATCGGGTACCGTATTCAATTGTGTGACACTTCGGGAACATGTGAAGATGAAACTAATTTTGACCCAGAGGGAACCCTGGAAATGAACAATTTTTTTTTATGAAAATAAATTATTTTGGGGCGGAAAGATTTTGATACGGGCGGGCGGGGATGAGAGTCTAAAGATTAATTTTCTGTGGCCTTAGTTGCAGGTGGTCATTAATCAAATTTGAATAATAACAATTAACATGCAACTTATTTTGCAATGCCACAAGGATGGCTTGTAATAAGGTTTTATTACCCAAATCATTGAAAACTCTTTCATTACCAAAAATGTTATCATAATTTAAGAAAACATCTTTCCACGTCTAAAAAGTCTATATATAAATCATATAGTTCCAACAATAAGGAGTGTATAAAACAAACCAATAAATTAATAAATTAAAAAAGTGGACCGAGTTGACCCGTACCGAGTTGGAATAGGACCGAGCTGACACTGGCGCCGAGTATTTTTTAAGGCCGAGCTGACCCTTATTCCTAGGGACTAGACTGCATGTTATTGTTAAGACGGATAAAACAGGTATAAAAGCAGAATCAAATTTTTAAAACATAAAAGAAGGGTTGTTGTGTCTAGGGTGAGACATGTTCAATCAGGGTAACAGCCATACTGAGTATAGAGAACATTTACTAGCAAGGAAAACATACTTTTTGTGTTGCCTTTACAAAGTAGTGGTGACATAAAGGAATCACTTCTCCATCGTCTGACCGTCACAAAACTGGTCAGGACTACTCCTCAAAAACTTATTGTGCAATTTCATCCAAACTTTACAGGACTGATCAGTACCAAGTCTAGTTGTGCATATCATTGACATTTTCCGGTTCAATGATTTTGCCAGAGTTATAGATTTTTATTGTCCAGATTAAGTTTGTACTTTTATTCCACTAGCGCAATTTCAATGAAACTTTGCAGAATTGATTGGTAGCTCAAGTACTTGTGCATATTAACCCTTTCCCCCATGAGCATATTGTGAAAAATGGCCGTTTTCACTGAAAAGCCTCCTGTTACAAGTTCAAACTGCTATGAAACTATGAAAAATGCTTCAATACTAATCAAACTTGGCACAAATGTTGACTGGACCATTGCCTTTGTAACGACATGCTCAGTCTTAAATTTCCTGTTACCATGGCAACGAGGGGTCATCTCAAAATTGCCAAAAATCACTATTTTGCCTCGATTTTTTCCATCAAAATTTATTTCAAAGTGCTGCAACTTCTCAAGGGATTGAGATAGAGTCAAAGGCTTTTCAGCGTTTGTTACACGTTACATTATGATCAACCTGGGGTCATTTTTAGCCTCTCACAAGTCCAAAATTTTCTTGGTGATGAGGGGGACTCCGCCCCCCTTCAAACCCCCCTAACAGAAGGGGGCACATCCCCCTTCTGGCAACCCCCTGATGTATCTTTTGGATGGGGGGCGGCGCCGAAAATGTGCTCATTTTTTTAAGCAACATTTCTCAAACGAAAACTTGTGTTTGGGGCCCAAATAGGACATTTTTTCACTATTTGAGGCCTAAAAAAAGGGGGGGGGTCGAAAGTGCGTTGTTTCGCGTATATATGAGGTAAAGGGTTAAACAGAATTTCCGGTTGAATGAGGAGTTATGGTCCTCAAATAAATAATGTGTTTGACCTGTAAATATTTTTTGTGTCTCCTGCTACACAATAGCTGCAACATGCAATTGGCTAATATCAGGTGACAGGTGATCATTAATATCGCTTTTGTCATTGCTCATTAAAGAATTGTTGTTTTTTTTCTTTCAGAGTCTTTAGAAAGTAGTGTTAGCAGTGGTCCCGGGATGTCAATGGGAATGGACATGGGTGGTATGGGGATGACAAGTCCCATTTCTTCTGTCGGTTCAATGTCACCCGGAATGTCTTCACCTGATATAAAACCCGATATTACGTCATTGTCTGTAACATCGCCTCCCGGATCCTACTTCAGTTACGGAATGCATCAAGGCATGAATTCACAATCTGGTTCAATACATTCTCCACCATTACACTCGCCATCATCGTCAGTACAGTCTCCTACAATGATGTCCATTGGGTCGCCTGGCTCTGTTGGTTCACCACCAAATCCTCACATGCCTCATACAACCCTGAGTAACAAACACATATGTGCGATATGTGGGGACAGAGCTTCTGGAAAACATTACGGTGTTTATAGGTAAGATCATTCAGTTCACTGAATTTCAGTTTTTTAAAGCCTGTTTTTAGAAAAGATTATGATCTATAGGCAATGTTAAGAGCCTCAAAGGTAAAACAGAGCATTGTTAGTGATTTATTGATTTCACTTATATAACAGAGACCTATATAAGGCCTCTCTGTAATGGAAATTTTCTTTATTATCATGCAGTTTTACCAAAAATCTTAACCAGGTTTTTTAATTCCCAAATTAGCAATTTTAGTGATAACTTTTCCTAAAATCATGAGGGTAAGGCCTGTTCCCATTTAAAAGAGAAAAACAGCTGACTATTAATTTACACACTAAAATGACATTGTGCACTTAACTTCACAGAAAATGCATAATAATTGTTTCCAGTACATGAGGATGGAAAATAAGTCTCAAGTTTTATCAATAAATTATTCTTTTCTTTTGTCACAGTTGTGAAGGATGTAAAGGATTCTTTAAGCGCACAGTAAGGAAGGACCTGACCTATGCTTGCAGGGATGACAGAAATTGCATGATTGACAAACGACAAAGAAATCGTTGCCAGTACTGTAGATATATGAAATGTCTTTCAATGGGCATGAAACGTGAAGGTATGTCTATATGTATATGAAGAGTGGAATTTTTTGTGTGTGCTTTCTTAACCTGGATACATACAGCTCTCTGTAAGCTTTTTTGGTTGCTAGAATTCTGTTGTAATTCCTGTAGCTAATTTTCTCAAACTTCATTGAAAAATTCATTTGCAATCAGGTTAAATTTTTAATCAAATTTATGCTTACGATTCCTTGATCATTGTGCCAGAATGAGAAAATTATATAATAAAGATAATAAGTAACCTCTTAGTCTTACCATAAAGCAGTGCATTACATTTATACAAACATAGATTACTTTAAAAATTGAGCATTACTTTAATACAAACATTGAATTACCTTAAAAATTGAGCATTACTTTTATAGAAACATTGAATTACCATAAAAAATTGAGCATTACTTTTATACAAACATTGAATTACCTTAAAAATTGAGCATTACTTTAATACAAACATTGAATTACCTTAAAAAATTGAGCATTACTTTTGTACAAACATTGAATTACCTTAAAAAATTGAGCATTACTTTTATACAAACATTGAATTATCTAAAATATTGTGCATTACTTTTATACAAACATTGAATTTCCTGCAATTGTTACCAGTATTCTTTAACATAAATAAGAGTTGACTTTACCTTTAATAAGTTGTGTTTAATTTGTTGTAATGAACCTGCTTTTTATGCAGACATTCTGAAAAGTGTCAGTCTGTTGCCAATTATAGAAATAGAATAAAAAAAAGTCCAAAATAGCAAAATTTTAAATGTTGCAGTCTCATTGTGATTACTGATAGCATTAAATTGTACTACAAATTTTTGTTAAACTTGCTAGCTCTGATCCTAATTTGCTTACAGTTGCTTGTTGTTTGAATGTAGTTTTGTAATAAACTTGTTTTTATCATGGAAGATATTGATCAGTATTTATCACTTAAAATCTACTGAAATTTGAAATTATTATTAGTATAATGTTACCACTCGAAAATGAAAAACACATCAAGACCAGTCTAAAAATAGCACACAATGTCCGTGATTGTTCATGTACAAAATTTAATTAAGTTGATAAAACTTTAATATTCAGATGTATCTTATGATCTTTATCAAAACTTAAACAAATAATAAAAAAAACAACTTTGTAAATCTTGCTCAAACAATATCAAATATAATTACATTAATTATGTAGTACACAAAATAACACCAGACAATTTTTCATCAAATAAAGTAAGTGAATAGACTTTTCTGAAATGCAAGCATTAAATGATTGATATTCTGGCAATGCACAAGCACAGTTCCAGGCTCATTCTTTACCTTCATCTGTAGTTTTCCAAACAAATATAAGATCTTTTGTGAAAATACTACTATGAGTAAAGCAGATTTACAGAAAAAGGCCATGATTGATTTGATTTAAGATAAACAAACCTATTGTAAAAATACTACTGTAAGTAAAGCAAGATGTAATACAGAAAAAGGCCATGGTTCAGAAAACTGATATAGAAATTCATTTGAATATTATAAAGTATATACGTCATGTCAATAGAAACACTAGTAACTGTTGTTTACAGGAACGGCTGGACTAGGCTTGCTACATTTTAGCATCTTTAATTGATTGTTTTCATAAACCTTGCTATTTTGATTTATGATGAAGTCAGTGAACTCTAGTATCAAGCAGTTAGTTATAATAGTTGAGAGAGGTGGAAGGCAGTTCAGTGAACTTCTGACTGGTTAGTAATATATTGAATAGGGCACTGACCAATCATTCTTTATGTTTATATTTACTATTTATATAAGCTGAAACTTGTATAGACTATTAGTGAATGTTGTTTTTACTTGTTCATTTATATACTTTCCTTTATAACTTGAAAGCAGTTAAAAGTTTCTTTTGATTTCATATCAATTATTTTCTAAGTGCTGCACTCAGGTTTTCATCATACCAGTTGTTTTTCTTCTTTTCAAAATCCCAAAATGTACTTGAGAATTTTAGTATGATGGAATCAATTAGGAGAAATTTTCTAAACTTTATTAGTTTTGCCTTTATTGATCTCACTTTATCTATTATGTTGTTCATATTTTTGCAAATATAAAAAATATGGTATAATAAGTATTACAACAATCTTGTTTCTTGAATATTACTGCTTTTATCGCTATGCTTAGCTTTTTTTTGCTTTTTTGCGAATAACAGAAATTGTTACTATGCTTTTTTTATGTTGCGCTTCATTCATAACTTTTATTTATCTTTTACTTTATCTATGTGGTTGTTCAACTTGTTGTATATGTACAGTAGAAGTCATTTTTAGCCACTTTGTTATTGAACTTGCCTGTCACTTAATGCAAAATCACTTATATAAATCACAATCCATTTAGTTCCTTATACATTTATAGAAGAACAATACAAGTGTAACCTTATGAATAGACTAAATGCCACAGACTGGTATATATAGTGGAAAAGGAAATTTGTAAATTGCATTCATCTTCAAGTCATAGTGAAATTAAATATCTTGATTATGCAAGAAAGGGTTATCTTTTAGTCTTGAAACAAGTATAACTTTACCAGGATGGATACTTTGGTGGTAGATTTAAAACAGTTTTATTATAACTTAAATGCAAAAACCACTTCAAGGAGCCTGCTGACTTTGTGCTTTAACTAACCACTTTAGATTGGTCTAGTACTTTTCACCGCTGTAGGCACAGAGTAAAATCGGGACACCAGCAGGCTTACAGGAGTGAATTTTTCCCAGGTTTGTGATAAAACACTATAAAGGCATCTATGGTTTTCCTTTACTAGGAAAGCTGGACAGTTAAGCCTTATGGCCTTTCTTTTTCAGGGGTCACTAGACTTAATATCAGGCAAAAAGAAAACACTTTTTGTATTGTGTTGTGAATATACATTTTGTTATTTCAGCTTTGATTGACAAATCCACCAGTCCTGCAGTGAATTCCGGTACGTTTGTTAACCCAGTAAGCAGCAGGCAATTTCCATGTTTCATAATACACTTCTCCAAGGCAATCTCTTTTGATGAACATATATTAAAATAGGAATAATTGAATGGAAAGCCACTTTTGCTAAAGGACAGTGCAAATATTTTAGCTGTTGGGAATCAAAATTTTATTAACATCATACACGTTTTTGAAAAAGCAAAAAAATTCTTTTGATATCAGTGGTCAACAATTTTGTAAATACTAGCTTACTTTACAATTTTTGTTTGTCAATTTAAAAAAAAAATAAAGATTTTTTTTTCTAAATTAAAGATTTAAAAAAAGGATTTTTAAAAATAAAGAATGTTTTTAGTAAAAAAGATATTATAAAACTATAGTGTTCCATCTTATGAAAATAAAATAAAGAAAAACAAAGCATGGGATTCAAAACTTATGGGAAATTTCAAAATAGGCTGTTCATACACACACAATTTTGCATGTTCAAAGTTAATAACACGTTATGAATTAATCTAACTTCACTTTTGGACAATGGTATTGTTGTAAATTACCCCTTACCCTGCTGAAACCGAAATAGATCACTCTTTGCCGCCAAAATATATCAAAGCTTGTCTGCTTTTTAAGTAACTTAAACTTTTCATCTTCATATCTGTACAGTTCCAAAGCCAAGTCAATTTCAGAAATTCAGCAGGCTAAAGGGTTTACATGCAGATGTTAATGGTAACTGAAATTATGAATTTTATTTGAAAGTTCATCTGAAGGAAAAAAATTTAGTGCCAGCATAAAATGATCTGCTTTCAATTTAGAATAAAAGTCTTGTATTTAAAATAAATATCAAATGATTTGTTTTCCAAAAGGAAGCATTTATAATATGCATTTAATGATTTTAGAACTGTTTGTTTTCCATATATAGAATCTCTTAATAGGATCAGGTGCTGTTAAATTTACTCATGAGTAAAATATAGCAATTCTAGCCGGAGAGGAAATTAAACAAAGGGGTTTAATTCTATTGATAGAAATAAGTTGATAGATTTAGAATAGATAGTGCTCAGAACATTAACCTGGATGTTATTATTTTTTAACTTTCTTCTATGAAATAGGACAGGATGAAAAATTCTCCTTTAGCCTTCCAGCTGCTACTAAATCTACTCATGTGACCAGTGCAGACCAAGATCAGGTGACACATCTGTGCCATATCACTATGGTCTGCACTTTTTGCTCTTCTATCAGAACATATTTTGAGAGTTTTCTTCAAAATTGTGATTTGTATTTCCATATTGAAAGACTTACAAATCTATATCATATTAAGTATGAAAAGGGTTATGTAACACTATATGTTTAAACAAAATAATTAAATCTCACTAATTGCGTTGTCACATGCAGACTATTGGAGAAATTGCTGATTTAAAAATACATTTTTTTTTCCATAGGCAGAAAAAGCTTGATGTGTTAAATTCATCCTATAAAATCATGTTTCACATTTTATGTGATTGATATGAGATTGTATCAATAAGAGAAAGCCTATAATAGACAGATAAAAGAAGCCAGAACATAATTATATTTGCTATAAATAGAAATCAATAATGATAAGCTTTCTCATTAAATAAGCAAGCTTTTAAGATCTGTAGTCAAACCATATTATGAGAGTCATTCAAACATTCATAAAATGAGAATAACTGCAAAAATATTGTTTAAGTTTATTTTTAGGAAGCATTTTACTACTAAGAATGTTTTTTGGTTTTTTTTGATGGATGGATGAAGGAGTTCTTGATCATGGTCTTTCTTTTTTGATTACTTTATTCGAACATTTACTTGAAATTTATACACAGCTGTCAACACTGCCCCAAAGAAAACTCTGTGGTCTAGCATCTGTAAAGTTTGTTGACCTCATTTGCCACTGACCTCTGTGGGTTTGAATCCCACCAGGGACTTTATAACCCTCCATGTGAGAAAGCTATCTAATTAGGTTATGGTAGGTAAGGTGGTTCTATTTAGGTTTCTTCTGCATTTTGTTTGAAATAGTGCATGAAGAGGCACCTAACATCTTTCTCCGAAATGAAGTTGCAAAGTTGGCATACAGTGTTTATGAGACTTAAAATCCAGTCAAAACAAAGGATTATCCAAGGGGACATGATATTTGTTTTTCAGTAACAATAAAAGATTAAATACTTACATATATTAAACAAATTTACAATTTTTCTTATTGAAGAAAGGTTTACATTTGAGATTCATATCTTTCTAAAAGATGAACTTGAAAGTAAAATCTATGTATATTGTGATATACTGGTACATGTAGAAAAATACATAACTGTTTATTTTAATGTTATTATATGGTAATTTATTGTTTACACCATGCAATAAGCATACCAGAATATTCCAGTATGCCAAATTATAATGTTTTATGAATACTTGCCTAGAATACCGTACTATAACAGAATAATCAGAGAATTCCAGTCTAGTGAAAAAATAAATATGTTCCTTTGATTAAAAGCTCTCTTGATTACTTACAGAGATATGTTTTGATATTAAACAGCTTATGGTTATATATTTTTAGATATTATTAAGATTCTGTTACTAAGCAACCAACTTAAACCAGCGTAAAAATATCAAGTTGTATGGGAAATGATGAGAAATATATTGGTAATTACAGAGAAGGGCAAATTATAAGAAAAATTCAAACTGTAGAAAATATAAAATATAAACCCCAGAAAATAATGTTATGTTTCCCTATTGAGGTATAGTACCGTTAACCTGTACAGTTGATGTACATTTAGGGTGAAATTTTGTCACTGGCTTGCAGGACTGGTGGATAATGTAACTAGGAAAGTTGTGCTTGATTACTGCTTTTTTGCTTTATATTTTTCTGTATCATATTCATATTATAATTGGTCACCATGGTGTTCCTAAATAGTTTTTATACATGTTATATAATTTAATATGAGTTAACCTGTTACTTCACTATGGTGACAATATATAATTTGCTATGGTATTTTAAAACTATTTTCATCAAAACATTAATATTTCAGGGCTAAAAATTTAATAATTCAGGGCTAGAATGTAACATTTTTCTTTCTACATGAAAATTTAATGTACTAGTACAAGATATTGTAACTCGCAAAAAAAACAAGCAAAACTTGTACTACTTATATAGTATGTATACAACATAATACATGTATGTATATTCGTATTTATTTATGAATTGCTTTTGGAGATGACATTTTTGTTAAAATTTGATTTCTTTTTCCGGTTTTATCAATTTATGTTTATTTACTAACTGCTACACAAGCAAACGTTTACATGTGTAAAGAAAAATTACAGGCATACTTAAATTTTGACAAGCATTTTGCGAGTTTGCTGGTGTTAAAATCCAGCCATTATATTTGTTTTCAGCCATTTTTGCTTTGTTAACATGTAAAAGACATTTTCAGTCTAGGGAATAACCACGAGCAAAGAATAAGCAATACAGCTTTGGAACAACTTTAAATGAATTAAGTTAGTTATTAAATAAGACATGATAATATTATGTCTGGATCTTGAGGTAACCAATTCTAGTAATAATGGAAGTCAAATCACAGACACTCGTATAAAACAACAACTTGTCTTATTAAGACAACTGTCTATGAAATACTTGTAATTTGATTTACATTGGTTTGGTATTTGTGGAAATTTACTAGACTGAGATATGTGAAATTTAATATATTGGTCTAGTCCAAATCCTCGTTAAGATGTTAATTTACATGTATTGTAGATATACCATTATAAATATCTATCTATTTGAAGCTTTAAACGGAAGCATATTCACTTTGAAGAATAAAGAATTGATAGATTAAGATTTATTTGAAGATAAAACTTTGTCATCATAAATTAGTACATATATATAAGGCACTTGCATTTTAATTGCTAATTAGGAATCATTTCATCATCAAATATTGTACAAGCATACTGATTCATTGACATTTGCTCTTGGCCCACATTTACAGCATTCCTGTCAACTTGATTTTGAAACACTTACTGGGGCAGGTTATGATTTGATTTTGACCCAATTATGAGACATTGCTTTTGCTTGATGTAACTTTTGGCCATTTAAGAGTTAAATCAATATATACATGTATATACATGCAATGATCACATTTCTCCTTTAAGCTACTTACAAAATGTTGATATTTTATTAAAAAATGTTGGAATTTCTTTGAAAAAAGTATAAAATAAAAGTAAAGATTAGTTTATACAATTTTCTTTAGTTTGATTGTGTTGGAAAATATAGCTTTAATTGAAACACTCTTGAATCTATTGCTTTTTGCATGCCTGAGTGTTAACTGCATATTGTTTTCTAAGGATTGTTGGCCGCATAGGTTCAAACCCTATCAGGGGCAAGAAACTTTACACTCATTGCTTGTTACTGGTTGGTTAATCCAGGAATAGATTTGAAAGCGCAGTTTGGATTGTTTCATATGATACTGAAAGTTATAAAGCCAATACTCAATACTGGTCAGTGGTTCTATGACTGAAGCAATTTATATAGAGTCAACACCTGAGATCTTCCTCCACTGAAATAGCTAGATTGTCACCATATCACCTGACCAGTGTTCATGTGACATCAAACACAAAGAAAAAGAAGGAAAGTTTAGTAATAATGAGGTTGGTTTTTTTTAATAAATTCATCTACAGATGTTGATAGCAGATGGTTAAGATTTATGACATATGATTTATGATGTTTAACTTGTTAATTATTACCCAATGCATATTTTATAATAAAGTAAAAGCTGATATGAGATGCCTGTTAGTAGGTTATTTTAACTGTGTCTATAGTTACATCTGACAAGACTAGTTATACACACAAAAGAAAACAGAAAAATATTGCTCTTATCCATTTATGTAATCATCCAACTTGACATGTATTTGCATGAAATCAAGGTTAAGTTGAGATTTTTTTCTCTTCATGTTACATGTTGGGCTCCTTGCCAGTGGTCCTGTGATGCTGGGTCGTTTGGGGGTTGCGTTCATTGAAAGCTGCCCTTCCTTGTCGATGATATATATATCTTTTATTGTTAATCAGACCCTGAAAGTGAAAGTACTATAAATACACTAAATTTCATGTCATTTGACTAATAATGAATTTGTATAGGGATGTTAAAAGTCTATTGTATATTTAACATGTTTATATGATATATATTGTTGTGTATTTAACCTGTTTATATGATATATATTGTTGTGTATTTAACATGTGTATATGATATATATATTAACAGCTGTGCAGGAGGAGAGACAGAGAAACAAGGAGAAGGGGGAGAGTGAAGCAGAAAGCACAGTTAATGCTAACTCTGACATGCCAGTTGAGAAAATCCTTGAAGCAGAACTCGCTGTTGAACCTAAGACTGATACTTACATTGACGCTCAGGTAAGGCAACATAACATTTAATACAGGGAAGAAAATTTTGGTCATTTAGTTCAAAAAGAAGATTGAGATTCAATTTGCTGTTGTTCACACATAATCATTTTCTTAAAAAATGAATGTGGTTAACAAAATTGTGAAGATTTTATGATAGAGACCTACTTATATTATAAGTACATTATTTCACATTGAAAATTGTGAAGAATGTATTTTGTAAATGAAAGTTGTAAAAAAATTATTTTGGATACATTCTTTCAAGTAGTTCACACAAAGAAAATAGTTCTGCAATAAATGTGCTCATGTAAAACATGAATAAATTCTTAGTCTTGAATCATTTGAAATATTTCTTACCTAAAGTTCTCAGCTTAAGATGTTGGACATCCATTGAACAGAATAGAGCTGGTCAGTCTGAAGGGTTGTGCAGGCTGACTGGCCCTATACTGGTGGCAAAGACTTATCTATCTTGGCCCTAGCAGGATAAGGGTCAAGCTGAAGATGTAAACTATGACTAGGTCTTCAAGTTTGAAATACAATTCACTCTCTCAAGAAATCTTAGGAACCTAAGTTGTTTATGAAGTTGATTTTAAAAACAATAGTGATGATTGTTTAAATTAATTTACCAGTACTGAATAACCTTGGGAAGCGTTCTAGACATGATAATAATCTTGCTTCAAATCAATACAACCACACACAAAAGGAGGTCTTGAAAAATTAACAACTTTAGTATGATGATAAATAATAGGTATGGTTGAGAGGTGTCTTGCTTTCAGATGAGATTTCCTCATGTAATATGGTAATCTTACAGACTGAATTTTCTCCCCAAATTTTGTTGCCTTTGTTTTGCCACTGCTTTTATATAAATCAAAATATTTGAGAGTGTGGAAGATTAATAAATGGATTTTAATGATCCAGAGACAGAGGGTAAACTTTATAGTTTTTATGCCCCCGCCATGTAATGGCCGGGGCATATAGTGTTACCCTGTTCCGTCATTCCGTCATTCTGTCATTCCGTCATCATCAGTTTCCGTTCATTATCTTAAGAACGGTTGCACACATTCAACTCAAATTTGACATATGGATATGTCATGAGAAAATACAGGTCAAGTTTGAATTTGGTCATGGTTCGATGATTTTTGGCAGAGTTATGCCCCTTTTACTTTGAAAATAATATGAAATTTCAGTTTCCGTTTATTATCTCCCCAATGGTACAACACATTCAACTCAAACTTGACATATGGATATGTCATGAGAAAATACAGGTCAAGTTCGAATTTGGTCATGGTTCGATGATTTTTGGCAGAGTTATGCCCCTTTTACTTTGAAAATAATATGAAATTTCAGTTTCCGTTTATTATCTCCCCAATGGTACAACACATTCAACTCAAACTTGACATATGGATGCGTCAAAGGAATGCGCAGGTCAATTTCAAATTTGGTCATGGTTCAATGATTTTTGGCAGAGTTATGTCCCTATCACTTTGAAAGTAATATGAAATTTTCAGTTTCCGTATATTATCTCCCCAATGGTACAACACATTTAACTGAAATTTCACATATGGATATGTTTTTTGAATGCCCAGGCCAAGTTCAAATTTGTTCATGGTTCAATGATTTTTGGCAGAGTAATGCCCCTTTCACTTTGAAAATAATATGAAATTTACAGTTTCTGTTCATTATCTTCCCAACAGTGTTACATATTCAAATTAAATTTGACATATGGATATGTCAAAGGAATGGGCAGGTCAAGTTGGAATTTGGTCATGGTTTGATGATTTTTTGGCAGGGTTATGTCCCTTTTTACTTTGAAAATAATATAGATACATCTTAGGAATAAGCAGTTTTAGTTTGAATTTGGTCGTGGTTCAATGATTTTAGACAAACTAATCTTTCCTGAATGTTGGAAAAATTTTGAACTTTCAGTTTCAGCACTCATACTTTTAGCCATTATTTTGGCTACAAATATGCGATATGCTATTTTTAAAAGGTTAAGACTGAATATTTTCAGTGCCTTGAACATTGTATGAAAATGGTTTGTGTTAACATTGAAAAGTTTTAAGGGCTTTGAGCTTAAAATGAAAAAAATAATAAATGCACCATCTGAAATTTTGGCTGCATGCGGGGGCATCCGTGGCATGATGACACATTTCTAGTTTTAAGATTATAACTGAGACTTCAAGCAATTTGCCTGAGATTTTGGCTCTAAAATTATTTATGTTTTGGTTTATAAATATTAAATTTTGAAAGAGGATTTTTTTTGTCAATTAGATATGTAGCAACGATGTCATAACTTAAAATGGTTAGGTACTTGGTTGATATCTCAGCACACAAATACTGTAGTCCTGATTGGCCAAATTATTAAAATCTCTCCTCAGTTAAATATCTGGAAAAAAGTGATCTCTCTGAAGCATTGAAATCAGCGAAATAACATAAAAATTGCTGACTCGGTTTGATTGAACCTGTACATGAGGGATAATGAATGTACAAAAATGCAAAATCCCTCAGACCCCCTAGCACAGGCTTGAGCAGTACTCAATTCTTAATACTTAATAGTGCTGGCATCAATGATCCCGAAGGACCAGGAAAATATAACAACACTGAAGTGAAGTACAAGGCAACTTTTTACAACTGCCACACAGCACTTGACACTTGCTGTTGTGATGTATAAATATCTGTCAGGGAAAAAAAAGCCTGAATATTTGAAATAGATATCAGTAAGATTTGACATTAATACAATTATATTTTGTATTGTCCAACAGAAAGATGCAGTGACAAACATATGCCAGGCAGCAGACAAGCAGTTGTTTACACTGGTAGAATGGGCAAAACGCATACCTCATTTTACTGAGCTGCCATTGGACGATCAAGTCATTCTACTAAGAGCAGGTAAAATTTGCAAATTTTAGTTGACTGATATAAAATGGAGCTAAACTATTACAGTATTACCCCATGCATTTACTTGACACTTGGTTAGTTTATACAAGCTAATTTTAGTTCCGTTGCGTTGGAAGCTATAAGCTTAATGAAACACTTGCAAATCTTTTTCTGAAACCAACCAGTACTTAGCAATGAGTGTTAAGTTTCTTGCTCAAAGAAATAATGGCTTGTCCCTGTCAGAGCAGTTTGAACCAGCAATCCTTAGATTATTAGTCTGAGGTAATAACCACTCGGTCATGCTGCCACACTTACAATTGATTGAAGTTTGTGTGCAACTTAAATTCTTGTCAACTACAGTATCATATCTTGTCAACCACTGACTACAGGGATTTCTTTTGGCTTTTATAGCTGATATTCGGTCATATTCCCTATTGAAAAAGTACTTCATTGTAAATTATTACTAAATTTACAGGCTGGAATGAGTTATTGATTGCTGCATTTTCTCATCGTTCGATCTCTGTGAAAGACGGCATATTGCTAGCCACAGGTCTTCATGTACATAGAAGCAGTGCACACCAGGCTGGTGTAGGTACCATATTTGACCGAGTTCTGACAGAGCTGGTGTCCAAAATGAGAGAGATGAAAATGGACAAGTCGGAATTAGGCTGTTTACGTGCGATTGTACTGTTTAATCCAGGTAAGAACTGATTTTCATTTATTTGTTAATCAGGAATTATATCTGTTGGTCTTGAAAAAAGTTTGTCTTACTGAAATTATGTGCATTGATTAATCTACAAATTCCCTATAATGAGTCGAAGGTTTACCATGTTTGAATATTGGCATACAAAATACCGTTGACCAGTGACAAATACCAGAAGAATAGCCAAGATGTCACAAATAATGTACATGCAAAGAATAGCGTTAATATTGATATTTCAGCTTACAATGTACCAATTTTGAATGCATTATATGGTATGCACATATTGTAAACTATTATGTCTCTCGGATACATCTAGATTAATCACTGTATGTTAGTTGTTGACTTGTGCTTGACCTTCAGTTTCAGTATTGATCTTGGTCATAAAATTTCAATAAAGACATAGAAACACTTGATTTCAGCATTGGTCTTAGGAAACAGATAGTTTACATAAATTTTCAGAGTCTTTTACATATTGAAGAAAACTTTAATTTTAACATTGATACCATTAAGGGTTTTATCAGCTTACTTGATGATGACAGTATTTTATGAAGTGTTTATTTTGTCTTAAGCATAAAACATAATGGGAATTTCCCTTGGTATAATGGCCATGGGGAAAATGCATGTTATGTGAAAAGCATTTGTACATAACAGATTAGTACTGATACATAGTATCAGAATGGTATCATAATATTCTAAAGTTAACCTGCTGGTGGCAACTGAATCTAACCATGTAATCAGTGCAGACTGAAGATTGGCTGGCACGGCACATCTGTGCCATTTGATCATTTTCTGCACTGTTTGCTATTCAATCGGTACATAATTTTATTTTGATATTTTCCCTAAAAATGATCCATGGTTTTGGACAGATGGAAAGTTGGACATGTCCATTTTAAATATTTAGTGTGGAATAGGTTGATTACATATTAAAGAAACATTTTATCATTACAGATGCTAAAGGACTGACAAGTGTACAGGAAGTGGAACAGTTACGGGAGAAAGTGTATGCGTCGCTGGAGGAGTACTGTAAAACACGTTACGTGGACGAACCAGGACGTTTCGCAAAGTTGTTACTTAGATTACCAGCTCTAAGAAGCATTGGTCTCAAATGCTTAGAACATTTGTTTTTCTTTAAACTCATTGGCGATACACCAATCGACACGTTTTTAATGGAAATGTTGGAAACTCCAAGTCCGGCATCATGAGTGACCATGTATAGACGTGATGTGTATGAAATTGCTCTTGGCGTTGTTTTTTCTTTTCTGTCGTAACAATTTTTAACATACAGTCAGATCATTAAACTATATTTGTATATATAGAAGAAAGGTATGTGAAAAAAAAATTCAACCTTCTCAAGTGTGCTGAAAGGTGTTTTAGATATAACTGATATTAAGACTGCTGTTAGTGAGGTTTGTCGTATTTTCTTGTTAGTTTTGGTTTTGCTGAAAGAATAAATTGGATCTAGGTTATTTTGTGGTTAAATCGTGTGGAGACTATATGCCTGAAAATATGTTTTCACTATAACGTTTACATTAAGATCAGGATTGTAACTTGGATGTGAAGATGGCAGCTTATTAAACAGACCAGAATCTTTGTTAACTCTTATATAATACTTGCAGAATACATGAAGCCTGTGCTATATACAGGAACTTATTGACAATGAATATTCATAATATTAGTACAATATTGATAAGATTTAACATGAATTTTCATAACATTGGTACGATATTAAGATATAACTTTCATTTTACATGAAGGGGATATAAATCAGGGCTAAGAAATGTTCCCTCCCTTTCATGTCTTATATTTTGTTCTGGATCTATATAAGAGAATTTAAACCCACTTTAACTTACATTGTTGTGTGTTTTATATTTTGTTTACATTATAATTATGTTTTCTTTGAGAATGCAGTATGTTTTACTGTTTTTAGAATGCAGTTAGTTGTTTTACATTAAAGCTTTTACAGACAATCTTTGTTTCATTTGATGAAGTATTGTTTGAATTGTTCATGTCAGCTTTGTGCTTTTTGATTAAAAATTATGTTGGCAAGAAGACCATGAAATTTAAACATGCTAAATGTTTGATGTACATTTGCTGATCAACATCATCAGAATTTTTTTTCCTCGCAAATTATCAATGTTTTAAAAAAATTTAGAAATTTTATGGTGAGGATTTATAATTCATATAAAGATATTTCAGTCAATTAAGTCTTGAAAATTGAAAAAAAATCCTTATTGAGAATATAGAATCCTGAAGCCCCTGGCTCATACTAAGATTTTTTGATTTGGTAATTTTAGGTAGAGTAATGTATGGTGTATTTTGTTATTTTTTAAGAGTAAAACCTGGTTTCATGACAAATTTCCTGTGGTTTAGCGGCCTATTTCTTTTCTTCCTTTCAAATATTAACATATGTAACTTCTAATGCCATCCTTAAGAAATTAATAGTTTATAGTTGTGCAAATATAACCCTATTAAAATGACAGACATTTTTATTAGAAATTAACTATAATTATTCAAACATCCTGATGTGGCCATAAACCTATCAAAATTACAGAAATTTTTAGTATGGAAATAAATAATAAATATTTAATAACCATCAAGTGGCCTTTAAATGAACTTGTCCTACTTTCATTTTGGGACAGTCCAATATCAATTTTTTTTAGGTTATCAAGACGAAAATATAAAATAAGTCGGTCAACACTAAAGTGCCTAGTACGACTGCAAGGCTGTGCAGGCTGGCCTGGATTTATACTGATGGAAAAGGTCAAATGAGGTCAAGGGTTAAAATTGTATTGCTATAAATTAATGCATTTCTTAGGATAGCCTGATGACATGTATTTGAGGAAATACAAATTAAAAAATTGAAAGTATTTCTTTGATAGTCCCATTATTTTAAAGCCACTGTCTTTGACTTTGATAACATATTACTGTGTTCATAGTGATAGATATATAAAAATGACTTGTGTTTTTTTTCTGTATTGAAGTGTGTTACTTTTGAAGTTTTTTAGGTGCCTTAGATTTAAATATTTTTAAAAAAGTATATAATTGTATTATATGTTGAATTAATTATTTTACTTGGATCATAAATTAAAATGATATGGCAATATTTACATTGATAAAGATTAAATGGAAAGGTACATTTTTTTTTAGCTTTTTTTTTTTACTTGTATGAAAATGGTTTGACTGTCAAATATTTTGCTAAAGTATTTAATGAAATAATTTCTGAGATATTTTGAAAATCAAATAAACTTGTGAGTAGCCGTTAATAACTCTTTATTTAACCTGTATAAATTGTTATTTTAGATATCATATTTTGATTGTTGGTACACGCGTGTCAGTGTAGCAATCTTATTTTGATTGTTGGTACACATGTGTCAGTGTAACATCTGGGTACCTGTACTCTGACAGTATCACTAGATGTGTTATAAAACCTAGTTGAGTAAGTCATTAGGTAAAGCTTTTACTGGAAATGGAAGTTGACATTTTACAAGAATGCTTTTGAACTTTGGTTTAGAAAAACAATGCTTCATGTAACAGAAATTGTTTTGCATTGTTATGATAAACATTTAGATAGCTTTTTTTTGTGAAGAGTTTTATGAGGAGATTTACAATTGTGTCAAGCATCAAATATTTATTGAAATTTTGACAATTTTGATACTATTTATCTTTCTTTTGTTTTTAGTAAGAACTTAAAAAATGAAATTAGAATTAGGGTGCTTTTGTAGGAAAATATAAGATTTTGTTTAAAATGTTACATTGTAAGTGCTAACAAGTTAAGATTGAAGTTTGGATATTTTATAGACATTATTTTGTTCTTTATATTGTATAGTTACATTGTACATGAAAGTGTTATGTTTAGGTTTGTACAACATGATAATGTAAGATAGATGTTTATATATACATATATTATACCTTGTTGTGATATTTTCAATGAATTGTGGGTGGACACTTTTTAAATGAATTATTTTAGAGGCAAAGGTCTCTTGTTTGAAAAGAGTCATTTTGATTTCTTTAATACACAATATAATATAATTGTGCTTAAATTAGAAGCATATAATTTCAATATTTCATTTAAAGTAAGGTTAGAACTGTTTATTATTCTAACTGTCATTATTTGGGAAATTTTTCCTTTTTAATATTTCAAAATGTTTTTTTTTTAGTATTTATATGCTACTTCTGATTGAATTATGGGACACTGAATACATTGGTGTTTGAATTCATTACTGTACTATTGAATCTTCTCATTATGAATATAGACAGTTAATAAAATACATCATAGGGCTATCATTTGCTCATTTTTGAAAATTATTTTGCTTCAATGTTAAATGAAATCCAGATTTTATTTTGTATCAACAATTTTGACATAAATTAATTAGAAATAAACACACTAGCAATCTTGTATCTTTAACTATTTTTTTTCGTATATGAATAGAGAAATGAAAATGAAAATTTCAGCTAATTTTTTCATTAAGCTTTGGAAAGCAAATAATCAAACGGAGGTAATAGCAGTAATTTAAAGCCTTTTAAAGGGAGGTAATATAGATGATTACATTAAGTATATAAAGGTAAAAGTGTTGAAAATTATAATTGTTAATTTCTTTTTTGCATAATCAGGAGACTAATGAAAGTGCTAGATAAGAATATAGAAGTTACTGATTTATTTGTGTATGTATTAAACTTGATTTATTGAATGATTTGTATATATAATACGTTGTGAAATTTATTCATTGTTGACTTTTTATGTGGGGTGAGTTTAAGTAAGCATGTAAAACACAAAATCTCACCACCAATGATGATAAAGGGTGATATTAAATTTAGCGCACTGCTTGAGAATTTTGGTCCAATTTTCTGTTTCGTTGCTTCATCATGTATTAAATAATAAGATACAATCAAATAATATTAAAGGGACTCCACTGAGGTTTGGTTTTAAAAAAAAAATTTGAGATTAATGTTTCATTTTTATGTAGGTCTAGACCAATAACATGTGTGCAAAATTTCAGATCATTCGCTCACTCCATTTTTCCAGAATGACTATTTCAATTGTAAAAAAATACTGAAATTGAAAAGCATTACAACATTTTTGACTCATATAGCACTAAGAATAGCATAAAAATGTGACTTTTAATTTATTTCTGAGTTTATCTAGTAGTTATCTTTTGCATATTTGTCTGTTTTACTGCTCTATAGCTGATCTATGTAAGAAAATTCAAAATTGAAGGTCTATAGGCTTTGTACCTCAGTGGAGTTCCTTTAAATATAGCGTTTTGTCTTTCATACAGTTAGCCATTCTTGGGGTATATATTTAAATATATATTTTCCCTGAAAACCATTCTTGAATCTGTAATACATAAACCATTTTAAAAGTGTTGCTGCTCAACTTGATATTTGAACTATTTTAAAGTGTAAATCATGTTTCTTAGATGTAAATATTTCATTATTAGCTCATTGAAACAATATGTTCAGGGTGAACACTTAGTAAAGGGTGAATGATCTATATTGATAAATGTCACTTGAAAACATCAATAAAATTAATGTAACAGTCTTACTTCATGTGAGGTGTCTCTCTAATTACTGTTTTATTTTCATTTTAAAGAGGTCAGCCAGGGTCGAAGATAGCCTATCTTTTAAGACTGATTTATGTCATCATTCAGAAAATCACCTTTAAATAAATACAGATGAAAGTCTAAATGAAAGTACAAACACATTTTTATAGATAAAGAATAGCGGAAAAAATACATTTTTTTTAAAGACGTATGTCAGAATTGCATCATGGACTGATGAAATACACAAACCCTTAATAGTGATCTCATATTTTATGATATTAACTTACTGATTTGATTTAACCTGTAACCTGCTGTATTTTCAACACGGTCATGACCCAACTTGCAATTTTTTTGGTAGTGTCCATATAGGGATGAAAATTTTAAGTAGGTAAGCAGACAGAATGGACATCAGCTGTCCTTGCGTTATACCAATGACCTTGCATTATGACGATGGCATTCCAATGGCTTTGCATTTACCAATGGCCTCGTGTTATTCCAATGGCCTTGCATTATGCCTATGGCCTTGTGTTATGACATTGCCCTTGTGTTATACTGATGGCTTTGCATTATACCAATGATCTTGCATTATGTCGACGGTCTTACATTTATGCCAATGACAATGGCTTGTGTTACAGCATTGCCCATGGCCTTGCATTATACCAATATATTGTGTTATACCGATGGCAAAGGCAAATCACCATCTGTACCAGCAGTGTAAATCACGGTATCTAGCTGAATGTTTTCAAAGATCTCGGTTTTTAGTCTGATTAATTGTTATGGAATTTGCAATTTGGAATAATCTTTTTTTTATTTGTAAAATTAATTGTTCTGTCTACAAATTGACAAAAAAAATTAATAAAATTGTTTCTCTCAGCGTATTTCTATTAAAGACTAAATTTTTCTTACAATGGCATTCAGCTCAATATTGTTGTTGTTGTTAAATTAGAGATACCATTTATATATACATGTACACTACTTTTCAAAAGTTTGTAATAATGCTGGATATTTTTAGCAGGGTTTTTTTAGCATGTGTTTAAACTTTGATGAAAATTTAGATTTTTTTTGTACAAAAATTTATTTGTTACACACATTTTGCCAGACTGCTTTATTTCATTTTAATGAGTTATTTGTATTATACACTCACAGTGGATAAACAAAATGAGCAGTGCCATGACAAAACCAACATAGTGCATCCGCGCAGTCTGATCAGGATCCATGCTGTTCGCTATCAGTTTCTCTACTTGTAATAGGGTTTTTAAGCGAACAGCATGGATCCTGATCAGACTGCTGGTCGCAAACCCATTATGTTGGTTTTGTCATGACGCGGCTCAAATCACTGTTATGTGTCTATATCAAGCTGATACCATG